GAAAAAGTTTAGTAGACAAAGATCCTCGTGGTCACGCTGCAAGATTCTCTGCCTTCCCACCCAAACTCAAATCGGGGGTTGAGGGATTTTTGGTGGTTGGGCACTTGGGCGGACCAGTGATGAAATTCTAGTCTTTTGACCATACTACAAGACTAGAATTTAGTTACAGTGATGAAATTAAGACTAATAGGCAACACTAATGCAAGACTACAGCTAATTGATACTTGCACATAATAGGAACTCAAAACTTGTGATACTTGGGCCATAAATTATAAAACCAACAATAACTTTACTTTAATTTATATATTGTAGTTGTAATTTCAATTAATGAAAGGGAAGACACATTATATCTTTTTTTTTCTATATGTTTTTCTAATAGGGAATGGTTGGAATTTAAAAAGTAGAAAGGGCATCCGAAAATTAGAACTTAAAACCTCCACTTTCCGTGAGACAAATTATCTCTAGCTATTCTCTTAACGAATCATGTCGTGGTTGTCTTGACGTGACTCTTTGATAGTAACAATTAAAAACTCATTTGGATTGTAGTTTTTCAAATAATTTTTTATTAAAAAAATTATTATAACACTTTTTTGATTGCGTCCAATATATAACAAGTGTGTCAAAAGAATCATTGAAGATTTCTAAGGACACTTCAGGTGAAAATGATTAGAAAAAATTGAAATTGTAAAAAGAAAAAATTCATCCTTCAAGTTCAACCTAGAGACCCACGTTAACCAAAATTTCAATCATCTGGAATCGTTTAAAGTACTATACCTGTTTAAATCAAAAGTCATGTTCTAGTAGTTTCACGTTCACCCTGTGGGGTTTTCTATCCCACGTCGGCTTGGGGGTTGGGGTGTTTGGATAAATAAGTCCCTCGCAGGACTTCAAAAGTTGCCGGCTTTTAAAGTTACTGTGGGGATTAGGTTTATTTGCAAAAACATGCTTATTTCTGTAAGAAAATATAAGAAAACAGAAAACTCATTCTCAGGGATTTGGGGGTAGTTACTTCTTAGCAGCAGGGCACCCTGTGGGGTTTTTTATCCCACATCGGCTTGGGGGGTTGGGGTGTTTGGGTAGATAAGTCCCTCGCAGGACTTCAAAAGTTGCCGGCTTTTGAAGTTACTGTGGGGATTAGGTTTATTTGTAAAAATATGCTTTTTTTTTTTTTTTCGAAACGATAGATGTTCTATAACTTAATCTAGCCTAGTCTAAGGGGAAGGGGAGGGGGTTCGATGTGAGTACAGACTCTATCGATGAAGGTCAATTAAGACCGTCACAAATTGTGATAAATTTGTGGGAGGCAGGGATTGAACCCCTGACCTCCAGCATCACCTTTAATGGTGATGACCACCGGACCAAATGGCCAGTGATAAAAATATGCTTACTTCTGTAAGAAAATGTAAGAAAACAGTAGTTTCACGTTCACTTCCTTCGAAGTTTGAACGTCAAAGATGGCTTTAAATTGAAATGAATTTTGGGGAAAAGCAAAGGATCCTCAAAGCTCAAAGAGTCCAAACTCCAAAGCTAATAACAAACTCGGGTGGAGAAAACGGGCGGGAAATGAGGTGTGGGTCTCGGACTCCGGCGGGAAAGCCCATGTCCTAAGCCTGACAATGACTAGTCAAACCTCAGACTTTTCGTCTCACTTTTCTGATTTTCTCTACGAACAGTTTGATCAGTCTGTCATATCATCATATGTAAGAAAACTTTCTCCACAATCTAGAGTCCCGTGACTATAACATGCTCTCTGCCTCGGACGCAACTCTTTTGCCACACAAGCAAATTCTCCTTGCTCAAGGCTTCATCTTCGAGCCCCCAAATAAGCTATAACCCACCATGGCTTCTCGCTCTTGGTTAAAGCTATGCCTGATTGCCTTCTACTGGTGCGACTACTACTTGGTAGTTGGTACTATGCGACTATCTAATTTTTAATTCTCTAGTTAGTTATTACCGGTGTCCAAACAAGGCGTCGTAATTACTACATTCGTCCCATTTTCATAGTTCTGATTTTTTTCACATAATTTTTAAAAAAAATTAATTAACTTTGTTGGAAGAATAAATGTAACTTACTATCTTCCTAAAAGTTTAAAGTTAGGTGATACTCAATAATAATTTACATTAAATAAGGGTATTTTAGAGAAATTTAAAATTAACTATATTTTAGAAAGTGGATTATAATTTTGGATGGATGAAAAGGGAAATCAAGCATATCAAAGTGAGATAGAGGGATTATAATTCTTAATTAATTTTTAATTTTTTTAACAACTATTTTATCTCACACATGTTATATCATAAAAAGTGTTATAGTAATTATTTCAAATAATCTCCTATTGAAACATATTTCGAAATTTTCCTAATTTTCTACACCGGCACATGCTAGTGTTTTAACCCTTTTTCTTAGGTATAATTTCAGAAAACCTCTATTGAGGTTTCTAATAGTTTTCACTTAGCGCACTTTAACTTTAAAAAATACCACTTACTTTCTCTACTTTTAACATTTTGTAATATTAGCAACCTATTTCAAAAAAATAAATAAAAAGTGAGTCTTTTTTTTAAAGACCATTTCTAAAGTTGCTAATGGTTTGGTACTTGATTCATATCAAAACATTTTTACACGGACTTGACTTGTTGCATTCAGATGCAAACTTTCACTGGGTTCTTAAAAACTGTGTTATAAAAATCACTACAATAGCACAAAGCTTTTCAAAAGATTATGTGAAGAAGCTATTTGCAATAGTATACTACATTGATACTTTTTATCATCATCTGATGTACTTAAGATAAAAATGTAGTTAAAAATATAAAAGAGTAATTGAAAAACGTATTTATGATGCAAGCAAAATATTACTATTTAGAAAACATTTTGGTATCCAAAAATTATCAATGAGAAATTAAAGAGCCAATTTTTGCAAATTATTGTCAACCTTCCACAAATTAAGACTAATTTTAACAGCTGTATTATGCAATCATAGACTTACAACCCACAAGGCCAGACAATTTCTTTTTAAATTCTATACTGGGCCATTCGGTGGCAATCAAAGAGTCCAAAACATACGTCAAGAGACTGGGCCGAAAATTGGCAAAGCAACACCTATCTTAATGGCAAAAGCCACTCATTTAAGGTCACTTCAAAGTGATGGCCACGGTGTTCTACGATGTTGCCGCTGCTGGCTGGTCCTGTGGGCAGACTTACACCGGTGCCCAATTCCGGTGAAGCTATCCTGCATCATTCATGTGAGTACTATTTTCCTAGTCGGACTGGGAGGGAATGAGAAGGGGCAGGAAGGGGTAAAAGAAAAATGGTCATTATCACTTTATATTTGATTTCATTATTAATTACTCCCTTAACGTTACATCTCCCTTACTTTACTTTCAAGACTAATGGTTAAATTTAATGAAATTTATTAATTCAATTGAGAATACATATTTAACCCTTAAAATTGTTATCACATTTCCCGCATATATTATAGCATTATTATCAACTTACATTCTAGAGTTATTTTTTATGCAATTTATTCCACCGTTAAACCAATTTAGCAAGTTAAAGAATTTTAGAAGAAAGTACCCTCCTCCTTGTACAATAAAAATAGTAAAAAATTTAGAGTGACTTTTCTTCTTTTTAGTTTTTCTTTTTAGAATCAAGAAAGCAAATTCAAAACATTAATCTCTTTCTATTAATAATGAAAAAAATAGAAATATAGAAGGGGGAGAGAGAGAGAGAGCTCAATTCTTTTTTTTTTTTAAAAAATAGTACAAATAAAAAGAATTCAATTTTTTTTATTTTAAAATTACTTTACGTTTTTATGTACCTTCAAATTCCAATCCTAATCCCAACGATGTTAAAGTAATATGATAATATTATATTCATACTTATTTTCTTTCTTTGCAAAATGTAATTTTCTATTTCCTTCTCTTCTATCTCTTTTTCTTTTCCTAATTTGGAAAATTCTTTTATTTTTATGCTTTTGGAACACTTAAAGTGAAAAAAAGGAAGAATAATCATTCCAATTTTTTATTTTTAATTATATATATAAAAAAAGGTAAATAGATTAAAATTTTTTTGAATATATTAGTTAGGTTAACGGTGGGGTAAAATACCTAGAAAATAATGTTATGGTATAAATTGATTGTATCACTATAATTTAAAGGGATAAAGTAGTGATAATAATAATAATGTAATAATGCTATAAAATAAAAGGGTATTTTTATTCAAAATTTGTTAACATACTGAGTTGAATTACCTATGAGGTTAAAGTGATAAAAGATAGTATTAGGATAGTAAATAGATAACAGTAATATAGTTTAAAGAAGTAAAGTGATAATGACTCTAAAAAATAAAAAATAAAGGTGGGGAGGAGAGGCAAACTTGCAGCCAATGGAACTTGCGAGGACCTATTTGCCACGGGGCGCCCGTTGCATCTTGGCAGGTTGAAGCCTAGCATTTGCTATGTCATTTTACCTAGAGTTTTTAATGAATCAAACTATTTGCAAATGTGTTTGTGTTTAACTTGTTCGAATTCGAAAAAAGTTTGATCGTTTAATAAATGAATCGACTTCAAACATAATATTATACTTGTTTAATAATCAAATCAATTATAAACATGTTCATGAATCATTCGAATAATTCATGAATACATATATAATTATGAAAATAAATATAAATACATTTAATATTATTAAATATATATTGTAATTCACTAAAAAAAGTATTTATACATACATTAGCATTATTTATTTTTTAAAAATCAATAAGTACAATTAAACTTATTCTAAATAATGTATTATTTATTAAAAATATAATTAGATCAACTTCAAAATCAAATTTGAGCTCGAATTTGGCTCATTTATGAGTTAGAATCTGAACTCAAATATTTATACAAATAAACTCAAATTCAAACAATATTTATAATTAGTTAATATTCGAATCCAATTACTCGTTGAAAGCTATCCCTATCGATTCGGCTCACTAAAAGCTCTTGTTTTACCATTTAAAAAAAAAAAAAAACTCTTGTTTCACCCGGCTCCTATCCTTTGACTGCCAATAGTTCAGTTCAGTGATGATACTCCGAATGCAGCTGCTTCTTCCTCAGCCCCTATCTCCCCACTACTCTTCCTCCTCCACCACCGGCTTAAACCCCATTTCCACTCCCAAACCCCTCATTTCCCGAAAAGCCCTCAACTCCCACCACACCCCCACCACCACAACAGTTGACTCCGGATTAAAATTCCGGGAGAAAATCCTCTACCTCGAATCCCTCAAAGTCAATCCCACAAAAGTCCTCCAGAAAAATCCAAATCTCCGTTCTGCCCCTCTCTCCTCTCTCCAATCCGTCGAGCACTGCCTTTCTTCCATGGGGATAGAGCAGTCTGCCCTAGGCCGCATTCTTGACATGTTCCCCCAGCTCCTCACAGCTGACCCCAGCAATCAAATTTACCCTGTTTTCGAGTTTCTGTTAAACGACGTCGAAATCCCTTATTCCGATATCCGTAAATGTATAATCAGATGCCCCAGATTGTTAGTCAGTGGTGTCGAGAGTCAGTTAAAACCCGCGCTTGAATTCTTGATAAAATTGGGTTTTGTTGGCGCCAATAGAATCACTTGCCAAACCACTGTTTTATTGGTATCCAATGTAGATCATACCTTAACTCCCAAAATTGATTTCTTGATGGGGTTGGGATTTGAGTACAACGAGGTGGCGAAGATGGTGATCAGGTCACCTGCGCTGTTGACATTTAGCATAGAGAATAATTTTATGCCGAAATTGGAGTATTTCTTGGAGGAAATGAACGGGGATTTGGAGGAGCTGAAGAGATTCCCGCAGTATTTTTCGTTTAATTTAGAGGGGAAGATAAAGAAAAGGCACCGGATTTTGGTGGAACACGGGTTGTCATTGCCGTTATCAAAGATGTTGACAGTGAGTGACGGGGAGTTCAATGCCCGGTTGATTGAAATGCAGTTGGAATTAGTAGAGGAAAGGCAGTTGTAGTAAGTTGGCTCTGATTTTTCAGTTCTGTTTAGATGTAAATTTTGGTGAAGACAGCCCAATGTCAAGTATATTTTTGTTCATTGTTTGTTAAAAATTTGCACTTTAGTCAGCTGTATGTTCGTTTACACAAAAAAGATAAGGTCTTCCTTTCCTAAAAGATGAGTTTGATAGCTAATTCATACGCTTGGCTTAATGTTTTGGTCCTTTTGTTACTGTGCTTATTGTGTAATTATATGGATGGTCGGACATTATTGGACAGATTAGAGTGGCTGAAATGATTTTGGTTGCTTATAATAAAGATTTTGAGTATTGTCGATGTCCATATTATACAGGGCTAATGTCCATAATATACAGCTGGTATATAACCATCCACGGTTTAGAGAGAATGAGAGAGGGAGTGTGAGGTAGAGAGACATCGATCCTTTCAGCGCAAGCATCAAGCGTTCAAGTCTTTTGTGAATCCTCATATATTCATTCCTAGAAAACATACACGACAAAATATCAAAATAGTTTGTCTTTGTAAATCAGTGCCACATTGGAGAAATCTGACTTTCTATATTCTTACAGTCCTCAGTTCTAACACCATTTTCTTTTTACCTGGCCTTAATGTTGGTAATCTGTAGCTTGGAATTTTTTATTTTCCAATAAGTGTAGCGTTGCAATTCTGGATTCACCAAAATCCTGTTTTAGTATAAGAGTGGAGCTTTAGTGATGGTAGTACAGACTCTTTAATGGTGCTAAGACTATTAGATATTATCAGTCTTCAGCGTCTGCATATGACTGACTAATTTAATTGCTGTTTCAAACTCCGCTTCTCGTTTCATTGTCATTTGGTTCCTTTGTATTTGTGGCTATGCATCTACAAACACTTCATGGTTACTGGTAGGTCCTCTTCAGGTGTAGTGAGGGTTGAGATTGGATCTTTGTTTTGATATACAGCAATCTGATCCTTTGCGAAAGGATATAAGATCTCATTTTACTGAAGATATGAAATCTGTGCCTCAGAAAAAGGATATAAGATCACCAAGCAGATGATTGACTTTTTAATAGAACTTGATGATTGCTGCACAGTGAGTACTTGAGCTCTTGATAGATTACTAGATGAGATGATAGGATTGTACTCATTGTGGAGGCTTTTTCTCATTGTCACTTTGGAAATGTTCCACTTCTCTGTTCTCTTTACATTCCCTGCTTGTCATGCAGCTGCTGATTTGTATAGAAACGGCAAAGCTATCTGAAGCTTAGGGTTATGCGTTTCACCATGTCATTAACCCCGATGTTGATTTTCTCCTCTTGATAACTCTTACAGCTAGTTCTCTACTGGGCAACTCGTCTGGAAGAGTTCGACAACTCTAGTTCCCCTACATTAGACTGAATTAGCTGTAGGATGTGCCTATTTTCGTATTAGTTTCCTTGCGTATTTCCTCTGTTATAGCATTTATTCTGCAGAGGCTTACAAGATGCTTAGTGGCAAGTCAAAATTACGAAAGGATTAGCAATTTAGGATCTCATATCCAAGCTTAGAACCCATGTGCTGTTTTTCGTTTATTGAAAGGCAATCCTCGTACATTAACATTTTATCATTAGAGCGAAGGCTTTGGAAGATCACTGGACTGTAAGATAATTGGATGGCCTATATCGAAGCCTATTTTGATCTGAGTGGAAGATCACCAAAATTGGGTGCTGGGTCCTGTAGAGGCTGTAAACTTAAAACAACCAGTTGGGACTGCACAAAGACTGGGACCTGATGTTTGGACCTTACAGCTCACAGCTGGGAATCTTGAAAAGTAATGGGGTGGGGTGGAACTTCCTGATGCTCTCCGAATCTAATATTAAGGTCTGTTTGGGCTGAGTCAAGCATATTGAGAGGAGCTTGAACCCACACTATGATGAGTAGTACTTTGAGGAAACTGAACTGAGAAGTATGGACCAAAAGCCCAATTGCAACTTCGTCACCTCAAGTCACTTTACCCGTTTAAGAATTCATTCTCTACAAGCCAACAAGGTTTATATTTTCTTCAAGAAAGAAGAAAGGGGACTATGGAGGACTCGTATATAGGGGAAATTTAATTTGCATGTGATGAGATTCTGACCCAAACATTTGTAGGGAACAAAGACCAAAGACCAAACTCTCCACTGTTGAGGCTATCTATCACTGCAATCTTCTATTGTTGCTACTTACCACACCAAGTCTTCGTCGGCTCATTTGACCACCTAAAATTAAATGTCCCCACCATCACCCCTCTTCCTTGTTTTTCCCCTGTTTTTTCTGCAGAAACATTTTTTCCTATCTTCTGGGCCAACCAAAAGCTAGCGTTGAGTTCATTTACCGTTGCCCCAGTACATTTTTAGGGTAACTTATGATGGGGCTTGGCAAGTTTATATGTATTGACAAGAGGCCAGAAAAATCTAAAACCTGGGAGACTAGGACCCCTTTGAATTAATTATGAGAAAAAGCAAAGATGAGATGGAATGCAGATGCTTGTAAAAATTAAAAAGAAAAAAGTGATGAAACATATCCAACAATGACTGAGATTTTATAGTTTTATACCGGATTCTTGCAATGGTTATTGGTGTACGTGTAACCTCTGTTTTTGTATCTGTTCCCTGCCTTGGAAAAGATAACTTATGCACCTAAACGGTCCAGCTTACCCTTCCTGAATAGTGCAAATCATTTGTTTGTACCAAAGAACCTTTTAGTATGTCTTGGACCGTATAATGTACTAGTTTCTTCATTTGATAATCATTTAAAACATGTTCTTACTGTTAATTGCATCAAAGCTTGAACTGTTGTTTTCGCAAAAGTAATTACTGCATGACACGCCACCTATGTTCCAGTGAAATTATTGAGACTTAGAGAAGCTGGTGGGGATTGCATGAGGTGTACGAGTGTGCTCAATAAAGGTCCATTTAAGTTAAGGTTTGGGGTGGTTCATCATCCTTCCAATGCCAAGAAAGGACAAACCTTAAGTCAGTTAGGTTTGAAATCTGACATTCTGATGCGATGATGTAATGCTTGCTTGCTTACTGACTTGAACAATCTGACTCGAGGCTGTGGAAGGGTTGATTATTTACTTGATATATAATGCCTTTTCTTCTTGGAAATGATCAACTGGAAAGTCTGGATTGGAATTGCTCTGCTTCTTCTGCTACTAATAATTTCTGGGAGCGAATTTAATTCTTCAGGAGAGCAGTGGTACCTTTTCCTATGGCATTAAATTCCTCGAGAAGAATTTTGTTCTTTTCTATTGACCTCCTCAATACATGCAAGCAACCTTTCCTGGTGATTATCAACCTAGTTAGAACAAGACAGATGAACGGTACCCAAGCACGCTTCTAGCAATCATCATTTTGCACCTCCAAAGCACATTGAAATGCTCTAGACATTCACGCTTTCGTGTTTAAGGGCTAGCGACGACTCGATTTCCATTTCTTTCTTGTTGGTCTCTCCGGGGTGAAGGATGGGATTAACATTTCAATCAACTCCTCCTACTACGTACTGCTACATAAATGAGCAGTTCCCTGTATGATGATCTAGTGGAAAAGACATGCAACAGGTTTTAAAAGAATCAATTAGAGCTTTGACCAGTGATTCAACTAAGGAAGGTTGGAAATCTTCGGACTCGTAATAATAGACACCAGAGCTGCATTTCCGGTAGGTAATGTAGATTAGAAGGTGAGAGTGTTAGGGATCAAATCCTTTCACTCAAAAAATTATCAAGCTACAAGCTTCATTAGTCCTTTTCTTTTGGCATTACAGGATGAAAAAGGCTAAGAGGCTTTCATAAATATCCCGTTAAGTAAGTACTACTACTCGTAAAGACATTCATTCGCATGAACTTGCACAGGCTTGCTAGACAGTACGGTGTGAAAGGGGGCATGAACCGTTGGGCCTGTTTTTGTCTCTTTGAAACAGCACATAGGATGCTGCGCACGTGGACATGAAGAAGAAGACTAAAGATAGAGAGAGAGAGAGAAAGAGAGGCAGACCCCAAAATTTTCAATTCTGGACGACGAGAATCTCTCTCTCTCTCTATCTCTCTGTGTATGAGCCTGCCTGTGTGTGGATGAAATGAAACATAGCAGAACTGCGTTCCCCGTTTGGGCTGTTCCTCAAGTCCTCAACCCTCTCTACCCTCAGCCAATGTAAGAAAATCTCAATCAAAATCAAAGAATCAAAGACTGTCGTCCTTTTCTTTCAATGCTCTATGCATCCCACAATTACTGCTCTCTTCCCTGACACTTTCCACCCCATGCACAGTTACATAACTTACTTACACTTTTACAAAACTGTACAAACGTAGCTCAGGTTTCCAACACCACTCCTACTACCTTCTGGGCTTTTACTCACTGGACAGTGCTCTCTCGTAGGAGTACATGGACAGTATGACATACGCTTGTAACTTAGTACCAAATCATACACTGTTCCAAGTCAGAAATATCTAACCCACATGGACAGAGAAAAAAGGGGTAGTAGTGGATACAGGAGGGAAATGATGGTCCGTATGCCCATGTATCAAAAATTTGCTCCAAGATCAACAAATAGAGATAGCTAGGACCGCTAGGGGTTCTCAATTTTCATCACTATTCCAGCATGCACCTTGAATGTGCTCCCCCCCTCTTTTATGATCCAAATAGCTTTATGTCACGAGTGGTTAACATCTAGCAAATCATGCAATGTAAGTGGGGTAGATTAATCTACCTTTCCTTTCCATTTATAGTATTAGAACTTTAATGATGTCATATTTCTTTAAGCAACGCTATGCTTTGCTCAGATCTTCCATGTCAGTAGTACTCTACTTAGCTACTTACTGACTGTCAAAGATTATACTGCAACAGTTTCACCTTCTACCTTTACTATCTATATCTGGTATCATTTACCTGTAGATCCATCTCCTTCTTTGTATGGTTCACGGAAAGTCAGTAAGACAAAACTCCTAGCTCCTTCCAGTCCCAGCTCTCAATTCTCATGGATGGGACTCTCCCAGTCTCAGTCTCTCTACTACGACTCTACTCTACTCTACTCTATTCCCCTAATTCAATGTGTTGCCTAGACTCCTCGGTGGGCCTTAAGCTAACTTTTCTAGACTTGATGTGGAAGTACTGTAACTCTGTCTGTGTTTTTTTTTTTTTGTACAAAGCAGATTGTCATCTCATCCTTGACCAACTGTTCTT